CTTACAGGAACCGGAATCAATAAGAACCGGAATTGTTCAAATTAAAGCCCAACCCTAATGGTGAGACGGCCTCCTCACCTGTACTGCTGACTGCCACGGCTCGTCAGGGGGGCAAAGCCTGGCATGAAGAAGTGTAACCTGGGGAACGGCACCATGTTGACAGCGAGTTTCCTCAGATCGGCGTTAAGCTGGCCAGGGAAGCGCAGACAGGTGGTTACGCCGCTCATGGTGGCTGAAACCAGGTGGTTCAGATCACCATAGGTGGGTGTGGTGAGCTTCAATGTACGGAAGCAGATGTCATACAGGGCCTCGTTGTCAATGCAGTAGGTCTCATCAGTGTTCTCAACCAGCTGGTGGACAGATAGGGTGGCATTATAGGGCTCCACCACAGTGTCTGAAACCTGCCACAGAAAGATGAATAAAAGACGACACAAAGAGGACAATGGAACCGAGGTTAAGATTTGAAGGAAGCAGTTGTAAGGCAAAGCTTCATATCAGGACATATTTGAATGCAGGATATAAACCTTAGGCGATGGCACAACGCTGAAAGTGTTCATGATGCGGTCTGGGTACTCCTCTCTGATCTTGCTGATTAGAAGCGTTCCCATGCCAGATCCAGTGCCTCCTCCGAGGGAGTGAGTCAGCTGGAAGCCCTGCAGGCAGTCGCAGCTCTCCGACTCTTTCCTCACCACATCCAGGACCGAGTCCACCAGCTCAGCTCCTTCAGTGTAGTGGCCTTTAGCCCAGTTATTACCAGCACCACTTTGGCCTGTTACAAATCAATACATCATGCAAAAGGAAAAAGAAAAAAAAAAAGGAAAAAGTCAGCTTACTTTATTATAAGTCAAATTCTTTATTGAGAGATACATTCAGCAGCTGATAGACATAGGTGAGGTCAACTGTGAAAAGATTGATATTTTATATGAATACATCTTTTTTATATTACTTAAGGTGTAGTGGAGGATGTTCTTTTTCCGGGTGGATCATCAAAATAAGTGGTCTTCCGAACTGTCAATCATTCTGATGATATGTTTACGTAAGGCCTACCTACTTGCTCGCCCCAATTTCCACTTACCGGTGGTGAGTCTGACATAGTGAAAAAAATTGCAAATCTTCTTTTGGAAATTAAGCTTGTTTGAGCGATGGAAACAGCAACTTTTAAACAGGGCGTGCAAGAGAAGAAATGGGCTCCTGCACGCTCTCACACACGTTTAATAGGTGTTCCCTCTTGGACACGGTTACAGGGTTGGATTTAAAGTCGAGAGGGAGGGTCTTTTCACAAACCAGCAAAAATCCTCAACAATATCTTTAAAACTCAAATTAACTCAGGTTCACTTTTTGGGTACAGTCTGCAAGAAACCTTTGTGTTGACAAATAGAATGCCTGCATAAGTGCTCAGGTTCTATCTAGCACAGCATTCCACACTAAATTATTAAGTTATTAATTTGAAATTAAATATTTTTTCAACCTAATTAATAATCCAGTCACAATATACTTCACATTAACATGCAGGCTCTGTCAGATAAATTAATGGTTCAATTTTGTGGGAAAGTCATATAAAGCAGATTTATTTTAGGTCAGAACACAAAGTTTACAATGGTATACTCACCAAAAACAAAATTATCAGGTCTAAACACCTGACCAAAGGGACCAGACCGGACAGAGTCCATAGTTCCTGGCTCCAGGTCCACCAGCACAGCACGGGGGACATACTTTCCACCTGGTACATAAAGCAGGGGTGGATAGTTATTAATTGCACAAGAACACTTATATTATGTATCTGCCTGACAAAAGAAAAACCAACATGACTGTCAAGAATCCCAATTCAGATGTTACATGAAAACAAATTGCTGCACATTGGTAAGAGAACTAAATATATTCCTCATCAAAAGCAGTCATCTCATATTTCCCACATGTTTGGGAGCCAATGGGGAGTTTGGGCGACATGGAAACCGTTCCTTAGCAACCATTGACTTCTAAGTTGGCGACATGAAAGCGATCTATCTGGTGGAATACGATAAATGTATTTTCTTTTCTTTACAGAAAAGCATGCCAAAGTGAAGCAAAGTAGAAACAAACCCGATGCCTCGTTGTAATACACATTGATCCGGTCTAACTGCAAGTCGCTGTCTCCGTGGTATGCCCCAGTTGGATCAATGCCGTGCTCATCACTTATCACCTCCCAAAACTACAGTCACAAAAGTCACAGAATGAAAAAAAAAACTCAATCAACTGATTTATCATTAGTGAGACTTATACAAAGTAAAAGAAACCAACAGCAATAGTTTCTTTCTTTCTTTTCTAGCAAACAGCTACGTGACTAACTCTAATTTAGCAGCCCACAAAAACTAAATTCAACTTTTCAGACATTGTCCCTACAAATGTAAACCTCACTTTTACTTATAAAAGTGTTCTAACCTTTGCTCCAATCTGGTTGCCGCATTGGCCAGCTTGAAGGTGGACAATTTCCCTCATTTTTATTGAGATAAAGACGCTTTACTCGCTCAAAGATCTGCCCGCCAGTTTTACCTGCTCTGCAGTTCCCGTAGAGAAATATAAACAGAGGAGGTTGGAACGTTACCAATGGTTACCTACTAGGTACATCTGATTGGATACATCAGACTTCAATCAAACTGAAAACAACATCTAATTGGTTAGTTTAAATCCCCAACAAAGTTTGATTGGAGGGATCTGCAGGCCCCAGGTTACGTTGCTTTTTTTTTTTTATTTAACCCAAACAAACCAAAATCTCCGGTGTTTTTTCTTGTGTTTATCTTTTAGTAGTGGGGAATGTAAATGTGTAGGGAAAGGGGAAAAAGGTAATACATATTCCAACAAGATGCCCAGTTCATGTATTGCCATAGCAATGAATTAGAATAGAATGAAATAGAATACAATATAATAGAATAGAAAAATCCCTTTATTGTCCCACAATGGGGAAATTCTTGGGTTTACAGCAGCCAAAAGATTATAGAAAAAATGGTCACACAGATGTGGACCTTAGAAAAATGTATAACAATAACATAATAGTGAAGAGTTAAAAAAAAAAAAAGTATATATATATATATATATATATATATATATATATACAAATATATATTTTTTTCTTTTACTGTTTTTTTATGTAACATTTTCCCGGTGTATTTTACGTTATTATTGTGTTATTAATGGATTTGTATTGCATTATATGGGCCGCTTTATCCATTTAAGACGATATTTATAATAACTTTGCGCATATGTATTCTGTGATTTTGCCTGCATTATTTTGTATGCGTTTATATTTTTTTTGTATTTTTGAGTCCTATGAAACGCCCGTCATATGACGTCATATTTTTGCGACTATTTACCTCCGACATTTGTGCGACGCTTAAATATGGCTCTATTTCCAGCCTTTGCCGAAGTCTCGAAAAACAGAGTTGAAGAATCATCATCCAAAGGTGCTTTCACATATCCCGCTAACATGTTTTAACACAATTTGTTCGAGTTATTGTCATTTAGTCTGTGAATTAGATTTAGTTTCCATTTTTTGTGAAAGCTACGTAAGACAGCATAGCCTCAACTACTTAAGTGTTAACTCTCTTCGGATCTATTTAATACCAGCTTCTTCTCGAGGTTTCTTTTTAAAAATCTGCATTAAATATGAAAGGATTTTCAGTCAATTTAAGAACTCTGACATGAACCTAGCTACACATGCAATAAACCTTTTAGGAGACTAATAATAAAAAAAAAAACACGTTATATTTAAGAGTATAATTTTCAAACTGGTATTTCGTGCCTTGAAAAATGTTTGAAGCTGCTTACATTTGTTAGATCCAAGAAGTTTTGAAATCATCTAACCAATTTATTCATTCCTTCCAGAATTAGACTGGCTTAACAATAAGAGCTTTCAGACTGGAGATGCTCTTTCCCTTCACAATCGGTTTTCAGAGAAGCCAAACCAGAGGGAGGAAAGGTAGGATTTTTGTTTTTCTCCAATTATAGAAGGCAATCTTTCTAAGATATCTCTTAAGGGACATCTTTGAAATTATTTTGTTAGTCCAACAAAGATCTAGAAATACTGCATAGAAAATTAGAAAGGTACAGACTGTTCTTTGATTTGTAGTGTTGAAAAGGATGACGCGTCTTCTGACGAGGAGGAGAGGGGTGATGGACCATCAAGGAAGAAGAAAAAGAAAAGTGAAAAAAAGAGGAAAAAGAAGAAAAGTCATAAAAAGAAGAATGGGTCAGACTCTGAAACCATCTATCCCAGCGATCTCATAAAAGAAGAGAAGGGGATAAGGTGAGTAGAAATATTTCTATTTTTTAAAAAGTAAAAAACTTTTTAGAAAAAACTTTCTTTCATTTTGTTTATATGTATTTTTTATGTTTGATCATGCAGGGAGCAGCCGGTTTTGTTAGGAAGTCGTTTTTCCTGGTTGGATGATCTGCAGTCACCTACGGAGCATCCATTCTGTGTGGACTGTAAACCGGATGCAGCCAATTGGACTTATAAGTCCCTGTACAGAGGAGATGTAGCAAGGTAGCACAATCATTCTCCAAAGATATTAAATAGAACTTTAATTCTCACCTTTTGGCCATAATATGTGACTAACACTTCTTCATAATATAAAATATATTCTTTAGTTTTAACATTTTAATTTTGCTTTCTACATTTTCCTGAAGATGTTTCTTGAAAGTCAATTCCAACATTTTCAGATCCACATATTAACAAACAAAATAAAGCATGGATGAACATTTTTATTTCCAGATTACATTCCTTTCCCAGTTGTCTATTTCCCAGTTTTGTTCACCAACCTTCTCTGTACAACAGAATCAGATTTATTGCAAAGTAGGTTTGCACTTACAAAGAATTTGGCTTGGTGTACATCTGGGTGTAAATATACTAGACACATCTACCGTCTTATAGTTTTTTTTCCCCAAGTTCTGTATGTATAAAGTCACCGCTGTAAATTGTAATTCATATTGAACATTAATATGTACTTCGATATAACATGATCCGGGGTACTGGGACTAGCTTTAAGAAATGACTAAACATAGATAAAAATATTTTAAATTCCTGGACCTGGTTTGTCATTTCTTAACAGTTATAAACATTAAATTCAATTAAATTAAGCTTATTTAGACTCAATCTAAAACACATTTAATCTTGAGTCACTTTTAAAAAAAATTCAGTCTAATCATTATGACAGATTGATTAGAAATTTTCTATCTAAGGAAACTCGGCTGATTGCACTGAGTCACTGACTCCACAGGATTTGATAAACATCTGGTGACAGTAAACAATCACTTGTATTGTGTTGTTGACTCTGCAGCGATCTCTCATACCAAGCATGCATTCAGCAACAGTGGATAGAAAAGACATACATTTTAACAGGAAATGAGCATCCTTTTGCCAAAGCAACCCAGAAGAATAATACTGCAGATGTTCAACAGCTATAATTTATCAAAGACTGAACTAAAACAAAAAAAAAGTCAATTTGAAGAAATGAAAGATTATCAGATTATAAACTAAAGGTCATTCTTCTTTCTCTACTCATTTGTGCCTGTCCCCCCCCTCAGGTATAAGAGAAAAGGAAGCTCCACTTTGGGTCTGGACTTTCTCCGGCAGGGAGTCAGCTGGGAGGAATCCGAGACAAAGAAGAAGAAGAAGAAAGCCAACAGTGGGAACCAAGATGAAAGATACTTTTCAGTAGCCACTCGAAAGCTGCTGCGGAGTGAGGCTCCCGTTTCTGTCATTTCTGTCACTCCAGAAAGTAGTGATGTAATCAACTCAAGTTCTTTCCTCCCTCTGGGTGATGCTGAACAGGAGAGCATGGGACAGTCAGGTAATGGTTTAATGATGTTGACACTTGCAGCAGATCTGACTGAAGTTTTCATTGTAATATAAGTACGGACCAAATATTTAGACTTAAGGGCACTAAAATATTGCTTTAAATGTTGTTTCTTCTCGTCTTAAATGTTTAAAATCAGGTGACAAAGCAGAGACATCAGTAAATCCCCTAGGCGTGTACGATTCCTCCACTGCCCTCTGGCTGCAGGGGAAGGGACTGCAGGGTGACCAGAAGCAAGAAACAGAAACGGAGGAAAAGTCAGGTTATGCGGTTGGACGGACCGAGGAGTTTAACCGGCGGCTCAGAGAGCAGCCAACAGACACACAGCTGTGGATACAATTCATTCGATACCAGGTAAAGGAGGCATTGTTGGGCTTTGAGCTGAATGGAAGTGAATCCAATTTTACTAATTTAGAAAGATCTCCATTAAATCTGTTAAATCAGGTTTTAAAATAGGAATTCATATTCACCAAAAGGCTCTTCTAATTTGAAAGTGAACCAAATTTTGCTTTGACAGCTGATTGTTTTCTGTGTTGTGAGAAGTTTCTGTAATAATGCAACATTTAGTCTGGCTTTAAAGCAGCACTTCAATGAATTTTTGGAGCTCTTAAAGGCTTAGTTTGATAAGGCCTGCAAAAGATGAAATCTGGATGTAAAGGTATTGTCTTTTATGTATTTACTGCTGCTTCTGAATGTCTGCTTCTGTCCCCTAGGATGAGTTGAGTACAGCTGCATTTAGAGGGGATGAGGAGCAGCAGGGAGGTGATTTAGCAGAGCGACGTAAGTCCTCCTACAGGGCGATCCTGGAGAAAAAGCTGAGCATTGCAGACAGAGCCGTGGAGACCAACCCCACCTGCATCGCTCTTCACCTTGAGAGGCTCCGGATCTGCCAGGAGCTTTGGGAACCCTCCGCTTTGGCTAAAGAATGGAAGAAACTGGTGAGTTACATTTTGTGGTTTCATTTACTTTTTTTTTTTTATTGTTTTTTTTTTTTACAATAACTGACAGCTTTAGACAAATCATTCTAACTCCAGAGACGTAGAAACACTTGGGTAATGCTAATTGGAGTTTTACTATATTTTAGGTGTTCCTCCACCCAAACAGTGCCCCTTTGTGGAAGAAGTATCTACTTTTTACTCAAAGCTACTTCAGCAGCTTCACAGTGACAAAGGTCAACTCATCATATGGAAAGTGTTTGAGCACGCTCAGCTCTGTGAGAGACGGCAGCATGGTGTCTCACCCAGCTTTGCCTGGAATCGAGGACGACATGCTGGGTAAAACATTACTATCTGTGACTAAGTGTTTTTTTTTCCACTATTGTGACCATGGGTGTTTGTTTTATTTTGTGTCCAGATATCTTCATCCAGCAGTGTCATTTCCTGCGGCAGTCCGGTCACTCTGAGAAGGCCGTTTCTCTTTTTCAGGCCATGATGGATTTTACTTACTTCAAACCTGACAGTGTGAAAAACCTTCCCACGAAGCAGCAGGTATGCACATGAGCACACTACAAAAGAAAAGTATGAAAATGTATCCAATATTAGCTGAATTTCTATGTATTCGTGAGATTATTTAACGGAATTGATCTTTTTTGTTCAACAAAAATAAGCTCTTTTTTTAGACTAAATGCCCAGCCGGGTCTCTGAAACCCAGCCCCTTTAGGGAGATTGGACCCGCTTCTACTCTGGAGTGGGCAATTTTAAATAATTAATCATTTTAAATACTTGCATTGTATGAGCAAAGTACCTTTTTAAGGTCTGGAAGAAGACATCCTGCCTTAAATAACAGTAAAGTAGGACATTCAGTACCAATAAAGAAGCCATCAAGTCCATCAGAGCATGAAAGCTACATCTGAGCCGCAGTTTCTAGATAATCCTAAAGCAAGTCTTACATCTTCTTAGACTGAAAACATGTCACCGTATAAACTGTTTAAATATTGACGCCTTCCAGCCTATCTGGAGACCAACCAAGTGAAGCCTCCCAAAGAATATATTTAATGTCAAATAAGATTAAGAGATATTTTTCCACATTACAGAGATGTTTGAAGGTGAGGTTTTCAAACCTAACAACACACACTGGAAAAACAATCTAGAAATAAGTAAAAAATTTCTAAAATTAAGTGTATTTAGCCCTAATTTGAGTAGGTAAATTAGATGATTTGCCAATGGAGTGAGTGTTTTTACTCTTAAAATAAGATAATTAGATAATATGCACTCGAAAAAAGACAAACCAATTGTCTTTTCTTATTTTAAGTGTAAATTGTCTTGTTCCATTGGCAAAATCCAAGAACAAATGCACTTATTTTAAGAAAAAATGACTTATCTAGATTTCCATTTCTTCCAGTGCATTCCAATGGTTAAGTATGGTGATGGCTTTATCATGCTGTGGGGCTGTTTTGTGGAATTATAAGGTAGAAGCACTACCTCTAAGTTTAAATCAACAGATAGGTAGTTGAAACTTGGAGACAGATAAATGAACCAACAGGACAAAGACCACAAACCCTCATAAAAATGGTTCTGGAATGGATAATGCAGGCTAACATGAAAATAATGGTAAAGAGTTTGTGTTCCTTGGTAAAAAGCGGGGTCCTTGTCAGGAGTCCAGCCAATTAAATCTTCATCAGTTTTTCCAAGTTGGTGGCTATAATTATTGTGTGGCTGTGGTGCAACCTTCATGGAATATCTTAAAAACAAAAAGAGGCAGAGAATCTTAAAATGATCCCTAATGTTCCATTTGGTACAGGTTGATTTCTTTGAGACATTCTGGGACAGTGGGGAGGCGAGAGTCGGTGAGGTGGGGGCCAGAGGCTGGAAGGCCTGGATGACCGAACAAGAGAGAGGAGGATGGGTTCAACCCCCTGCAGGTAAAGTTCTCACAGACATTTCTCAGTAAATTTGAGGAAATGTTTAACATGCTTTTCTAATAATTTAACATTTTTTGTATTTAAAAAAAAAAAGAACAGATGCATGTGCATCCCTCCAGCTCTAAGATACTGGTGTGATACATAGTAGAGCTTGTTCTCATATCCTTAAATTAAACCTTAAATGTTTTAGTCTATATATTGTTTTTTCCTTACATAGAGGAAGAAGAAGAGGAGGAGGATGAGGATGAGGAGGAGGTGAAGGATAGGAGCCTGCCCAGAGGAACCATCTGGTTGGACGTGGAGTCATCCCGGGAAGCATTGCACTGGCTGCCATGGAGACCGGACAAAGCTAAAGGCCAATCAGAAGAGGACTGCGAGGACCCAGACAGACAGGTGCTTCTTTCTATGTATCCTGTGTTGTTTGATGTCTCTGGTATAAATGTTTTAGTCTCATGCTAAAATCTGTGCCTCCTCCTTTCTCCATGTCCAGGTGTTGTTCGATGACATCGGCCCTTCCCTCATTTGTCTGTCATCACAAGAACTCCAGCTTCGGTTTCTTCTCAGCTTCTTGTCTTTCCTGGGTTGTCCTGTAGACTCTGTGCTCACCGCTGCCCCCTATCAGCCTAGCACATTCCTGGAGAACCTCTCTCTACTCACTCAAGGTGATGATGAGGGAAAACTGGATAAGCTCTCAATATTTAAATTATTTGTGAGGGGGGTTTATATACTTTGTAAATCTGGGTTATTTGAATGAATTAAGCGGCATCATAAGCTGTCAGAATTACATCAGCTGTTTAATTTAAAAGGGAAATCTTTAATTCCTACCTAACAATAAGAGACTCTGCTGTTCTGCTCATTATATACTTTTAAGAGGTTGCTGTGGCTAAAAAGGTTTAGTGAAGCATGATTGCTCTTTAAAGCTGGAGGTGGTAGTCATCTACATTAAACATGTGTTTCAATCCTGTGTTACAGGTACTGAGCTTCAGCGTCCTCTTACTTCCTTCAGCCTCCCTGAGACGGGGATTAATTCTGTAGGTCATATGACCACTCTCCAAGGAACAAGGAAGTGGTTGGGGCTTGGGAAGCAGGGCGAGAAGTTTGTCACCAACGTGTTCAGCATGCTCCAGCCTGTCCTTCCTCCTCCCCATCGAGCCGTGCTGTCACTCAGCTGGATCCTGTACGAGAAGCTAAAGGTAGATATAGAGCAGAGCAGAACGAAGCTTCAGCTGAACTTCATCTTTTTGTTCCTTTTTGCAAAGATCATCTCTATTAGATTTATTTAAAAAAATCTACTTTATTTCCAGAAATCATGGATTTAAAAATCACATATTTTTCTGTAATTGTTAGGTTTTGCACTGTCTGCGCAGCGGCAACAAAAAGCGCCTTCGCATTCAGGGAAAGCGCAGCAAGCGGGTTGCCAAAAGACTCCTCAAAGAACCAGACAACCGCTCATCGCTGGTGCTGTGGCGGGAATACGCTCACCTTGAATGGTTGCTGGGGAACCTGGACGAGGCTCGGAAAGTGTTCACCACGGCGACAGCCTTGGGTGGAACCAGGGGGCTCAGTAGTCCAGCTCTGTGTGAACTGTGCCTCCTGTGGTCGCAGCTGGAGTTGGAGAATACGGTAAAGGAGTTGGGAGAAGTTAATGACGTCACAACATCTCCGGCTGTCATGCTGCTGACCAGGCTAGCAGAAGGATCGTCTTCATCCTCATCCTCCCAGACCATATCCCCGGTTTCCATTCTGAAAGCCAGGAGATCCTTTGAACAGTCTCTGAGCTCTAGCCTGTCATCTCTGGAGCAAAACATGCAAAATCCTCAGCTCAACAAAAAAGGTATGTTTTTAGTTTCTTATTACTGTATCTCACAATATTTAGCTTTACATTAAACACTAAAGAAATATAAGTATGGTGCAATCCAGAGTAGGTGCACAGCTTGTATAGCTTTCAACCTGCTGCCCCCCAAAATATCTCTATCATTACTGTCTAAACCATTTACATCAAAAGTTATAAATGAAATTTAGGATGTCTGCATTCTTCTTCTTTTATCCACCGCCATCTTTTTTTGGATTCTTAAAGAGGCCCTTACCACAAGGGGAACTGGTGAACAACTGTTGGAGAATTTTACACACCTGTTCCCCATTCACACCTGAGACCTTATAGCTGTAGAGTGTCACATGACACCAGGGCACAGTTTGGTGCTCACTTTTGTTTCCAGTGGTTTCAATATTGATGGCTGTGTGTTATTAATACAGCATGCACAGTATCGGAGGTCAGACAGATGGTTTGACGAACTAGTATCTTAAAAAAAAATGAGTCAAAACCTTGTTTGGAAGTCTAACCAGTTGGGTTCTTTTTGCAGCAACTCAAGATGACCCGCAGGAAAAAGAGCTAAGGTTACGAGGCCTGGTTGGCTGCTATGCTCTGTTTCAGTATCTAACAGTGAGCATCCAAGCTGCTATTGCAGTCTACAGCCAAGCCAGAGAGAGGATGGAGGAACTGCACCGCTCATTAACGCCTGAAAAGCAGCTAGACGGCAGTGAGACGACTAGCCGTCTTCTAGTCAGTCGGTTAGCTTCAGATTGTGAGGAAATAGCAGTGCAACAGGCGGCGCTGCTAAGATACAACAATAATGTTGGGGTTTGTCCTTTGGCAACACTGAGACAGATGCTTACCTCTGCCCTGTCATCCTGGCCCTGCAACGCCGCCCTGTGGAGTATATACATTCAGGTCTGTTCCTAAAAGAAGAAACACACATCATCATCCTTACTGGCTTAAATTAAAGCAGTGGACAGAAACAATAAGTAAATGTGATTTTTCTTTTTTTTTTTAGGTGGAGAACCGTTACCATAGTGCTGGCCGGGCCCGGCGTTTTTTCTACACTGTAACCAGAGACAACAGCAGCGTGGTACCCCGTCTGTTTGCTATTGTTGCTGAACAACATAGGAAGCAGCTGGTGGATGCAGCTCAGAGGTAAGACTGAAAGGGATGATGGGGTGTATGTCAACAACATAACACAATCAAAGGAAAGTTAACACAGTACCAAGGTTGAAAGACCAAAGCAGTACTGTGAGAAAGAGAACATTTAAGACAGTTTACAGTCTTCCTAGGAGCAGGCATCCCATAAAAACAGAGCCTCTCCTCTGACTCTATTGGCCTCAGTTTAAAAAGTTAATCAAGAGAAGATGAGCATGAAAAGACAGAAATACCAGCCTTTTTTTTTTTTGGCTGCAAAACAATAGGAAATAGTTCAGAAAATGTTTCTACAAAACAAGATTGCTAGGACAATCTCATTATAGACAGATAGTTTGGTCAATGCAAAATAACTTATTTTGGAGAACATGTAATACAGCTTATATGAATCGATTAGGATGGTGGTGAGAAATGTTAGACACAAGCTTGTTTTGTTGAAAAAATAAAAAAAATAAAAAGCAGTATTTGATCTCATATAAAGTCCAACTTTCAGGCATGGTGGTCTTTTTAGGGATGAAACCAAAAACATGGCCTTAGAGAAACAACCACTAATTGGAAAAAGTGTTTGTTCTTTTTTAAGAATAACTGTTTGGATAAAAAATGTTGAACGGTTAAAATTGATAAAAGATTGAATCCAATTGTCTTTAAATGTCAATCATAGGTCTTGCTGCTTGGATGAGGCCCTCCCCATCCTACCAGAAAACGGCCTCAGCAACCGAATCCGAGGTCTGTTCGAGGGCGCCGCATCAACAGAGACGGGTGCCCATTGCCCTTTAGTGTGGAGGATGTACATTCATTTCCTGGTGAGATAATAGAAACCTCAAAACATATTAAAGCATATTTAAATATCCAATTATGTTAAAGGAAACTTTTTGTGCTTTGGTTTCCCTGTAGGTGTCAGAGGGAAAGGCAGATAAAGCCAGAGGAATCTTTTACAAAGCCTTGCAGAGCATTCCGTGGGTGAAGGTAAAACAGACATGAAAAAATATCTCAATTCACCTATGTATTAGGGAACATGTTATCTAATATGTTAACACATTGTATGTATTAATCAGGGATTGTATATGGATGCGGTGCAGTTGTTCCCTGAGCACCTGCAGGAGTTTGTGGATCTGATGACTGAGAAGGAGCTTCGACTGAGGCTGCCTTTGGAAGAGCTGGATATACTGCTGGAAGACTGAGAACACCCCAAAAATCTTTAAACAACTTTAAACGTTTACAGATAGACTTTGAAGATTAACAATATACAATTGGTTTTGTTGTTCATTTTTTTGTGCACTTATTTTGATTAATAATAAATAAATGATAATGTCTTGTTTGTTGAATGTTTTCTTTGGCATCTCTTATTAAAATTTAACTTAAAGGAAAATAATAATATACCCTAAAACCCAGGAATAGATGTAGTTAATTTTATTTTATTTTACTTTCTACTTTGCAAACTTTCAATTTTAAGTTGGGAAAATTAGTTTTAATTTCCCTCTAGAGTTGTATATAGTTGCAAAGAACTTATTGTTACCTTCACTCTGAGGCTTACCACTTTATTAGGCAACACCTGTAGATTACCTGCGAATCATCGCCTGTTTTTTTTTTTTTTTTTATACTACGCTGTAGAGACAGTGGCCTCATTGCCGCGCCGTGGTTTGACGCATTGCAGATCTCCCTAAGCCAATCACAGGCCTCTTAACTTTATTAGAGTATGCGGGTTTGTGCTAGCCAATCAGAATACGTCTTTCAAGAGCAATGCCAAAGCCTCCTCAGAGCTGCAAGTTTAAACGCTTAGAACCGTATCCTTCCGCCTGCATAAAACTAGGCATAACATAAAATAGTCCGTCACTCTCGAGTGGCCGTGAAAGAAAGGTGGCCAAACAAGCGCGTGAGATGTATATCAAAGAAACGTGTTATAACCTTTTTTTAAAAAAGCATCTCTCTAGATCAGTGGTTAAAAAGACTAAGGCCACTAAACTTAAAAGCTGTATAAATCTGAATCCTGGAGAAGCAATAGATAGGTTAAAAAAAAAAGGAAGGCAGAACTAAATATTTTATTTGTAAAACAACTTTTGACATTTTTTTTAAAACTTGCAGTTATCCTGAAAATTAAAAATGTAGTTTGTAGAACCCCTTTTGGGTTTAGTCCGAGGTGCTGCAGACACCAGAATAGTCCATGTTTGTCTTCAAGTGTCCCCTGGTTATATACAACCCAAAGTCATTAATTCTCCACCGCCATGCTTAACAGTTGGTAAGATTTTCTTTACTCTGCTTTTTTTTCTGAGCATGGTGCTTTGCATTATGGTCAGATATCTAAATGATGGTGTATTCTGTCCAGAAATACATCCCAGATGCCTTTTGGTTTCTTCAGTTGCAATTTTGCATGCTTAAATTGTGCGCCACATTCTTTTTTTTAATCTGAGCAAGGAACAACTAAGTGCTTGGAAAGAAAAGGAAAATGATTAAACTGTTGTTTTTTGTTGTTTTTACACAGGTGGTCACATTTCTGATGATCAGATAAGAAAGTGTGTCAAAATTAACAGTATTATGTTGCTTCTTTCCTTCACTCAGTTCATTAAAGCAGTAAGATGTATCTGTTTTTTTTCCCCCATGATTCAGTATATGATAAAAACCAAATGTTTATAAAACTGACTATATGTTTATGAGCTAAATTATGTTTTTGAAAAATAAGCCTTGCAGCATTGTGGCTAAATATTGATGTACAGCTATTTAAATAATACAAAATAAGTAAATAAATAAAAATGTGTGCACATGCATAGAATTGGAAGAGGTTAGTCGAAATGTCTAATTCATACCAAAAGGGGAACAGGCTTTTATTGTGGATTGGGTATTGAAGAAAATCATTAATTTAGATAGTTTTTGTTTTCTGTAAAAATTCAAAAAATATCCACTGGACTTGGTTTTCAAGATTTGAAGACGTTTCACCACCTCTCCAGGAAGCGAAACGTCTTCAAATCTTGAAAACCAAGTCCAGTGGATATTTTTTGAATTTTTACGGAATGACTATGACCTGGATGACTGAGAACTTTCATCAGCATAGTTTTTGTTTCACTCTGTTTCCTCAAAAGGTGTTGTTCCCTCCAGTTTCACAGTTCTGTTTACTTTTAAAATGTTTCTTGTAGCACATTGATAATCAGTAATAATTTTAGAGAGCCCTACAGAAGAATCTGATTTGGGACCCAGACTCAGGTTTACATTATTCATTAAAGAACATCTGTAAATTAATTAAAGACAAGAATATTTTATCTTGTGTCAGTCAATATAGATCAAATAATCATTAATTTATTGCCAATTTTCAGAAACATTTCCCATGCGACTGTAGGAAAGAAACAAGAATTAGGACTGTTAACAGGTCCATAAAACTATCAAAATATTCCTTTTTCAGTCCAGTAAGGAGATTTTCAGTTTTTGTAAATCCTCCATGAGTCTAAGACCAAACTCTTCTTAATGTACCAACAAAATTTGTACATTACAGTATGTAGTTTAGGAGCTCAATTCTTTTTTCAACTGACTCCGCACATTTATCCTTGCTGTACCACATAACAATACAATAAAAAGAAACAATTTTTTTTCTTTAATAACACAAATAAGAAAAAAAATATGTGCAAGCAAAACAGGGATAGATTTACAATTTAATTACAACATTTATATTTAATAAATACCCATTATGAAATACAGTTTTTGGGTTTGCTGCTTGTTGGCTGGATGGGTGTAATGCTGCTGGAGACATTCTCCACCAAAAAGACTCAATTAACAGATATAGTTTCATGGCATTTCATTCAGGAAGAATGGGCCAAAATTCCAGCAAACTATAGTTAGAAGCTTGTGAAAGTATCACTAAAACTTTATGATTAAAGTGGTACATATAAAGCAGTGTTACAATTACTAAAATGTATCTTAATATATCGATCTGAGGAAAGTTAATATAACTCTTCTAATCACTCTTGTTTCTAGTATATATTTGTGTCTTGTAACGCTCCAGCACCAGAGCTAAAGTTGTGCTCCTCTGTAGTGCGGAGGGATACAGTGAGCAGTGATTCGCCTCTTCTCCCCGCCTTCAGCTAGCAGCAGCAGCAGCAGCGCCTCAGTGGCTCCCGTCCATTTCCTCTATCCTGAACCGCCGGCAAGCTAACAGCCCAAAACTCCCACAGATATGGTGAGTATTTAACCTAATTATACGCTGTAAATGCGTTCGACTTTGAATTAAAACCTTTTTGCGTTGACTTGGAGCTCCGCTGTCGGTCTCAGAGGATCGTTGTTAAAACATCTCCGGGTTCGTCCATGGGGCGACGCGGGTTGGACCGATTTGACAGCCGTTGAAGCTGCAGGCTATATTAAAAGCTCCTCGGTGTGAAATTACCGCGCACTGGTTCTGGTTTGATGTGTAAAGCACTACCATCGCTTGTGGTTTTTGTGGCGGTTCAGTTCGGCATCATGGCGTTTACCTCAGCGAGACCAATGAATGATTTTTTTTTTCCGGCATTTGACAGCCGCCTTGTCACTTAGGATAATAGCAAACAGGTTAAAATTGAGTGTATTATCGTCCTTACGCCCATGAAGTCACATTTATTCATGCTAATATGGTAGTTGTCGAATTAATTAACAAGATGCTCATTGGAATAACGTTGAAGGGAATTCCTTGCTTGTGTGAGCAAGTTAAAAAAAACGCTGAATGTGTGGACATATGAAAGGAAATGCAGTGTTTTTAAATAAAAAAAAAAACAAAAACAAAAAAAAAAAAACGGTTGGATGGTCAAAGTATGTCAGGTTAGTTTGAAGTACCCAGAGGTCAGGCGTGGTCCTTGCAGTAATGAAGCCCAGGGCTTGTCCCTCTTTCTGCCGCCCACCACACATTAATTGATCTAAATTGACTGGTGCTGGTTCCAATTCCAATATGGCGTTAAAAATGCCTCCTTTTCTATTTTTTATTTTAAGATTTTTTTACAAGTACAAAAAAATTCTATTATCTTGAAGGTTTATTAACTCCAGATTGTTTTAAACCATATGAGTGTTGAACAAACACAACAGGTTTGAACATTAACATGCAACACCTGGTCCAGTTGAGGTCCACACCCATTCAAAGGCAACAAATTACATTTTTGATTCATTAGTCTGTGAATCTAATCCAGACTTTAGAATCAGCTTTTTTAGAAAGCAACCTTTTCATACAATAGCTGAACTGTCCAGTCACACGTTCCGGGGCAGATCTCAACATGAAACAAACATGCAAAGCGGCAAAAAGAATTACGATTTTTTTTAGCTTTAATATCTACATTTAAGATTATTTTTTTAACACCAGACTAATAAAATTTTTTAATACAGAAATTTGTTTGATGTTTTAATATCTGCTTGTACTGCTTTTACTGAAAATGTAAAGCAGCAAATAAATTACCTTAAGGTAAATTTTTTTTGGCTGTTTTTAAATACAAATGATTTTGTTTATAATAGTTGTAAACTGCTCAAATCTACTTCTGATTGCATTCATGCTTTGCCACAATCTGCCATCCTGAACAAGCACAGGGTGATGGTGAAGAGAAAAGGCTCACTTTGCAAACCGTAATAAACTCAACCCGAGGGTGATGAGCCATCTGATGTGACCCACTGTGGGCTTAGAGGACAAAAAAGCACAGACAGGATCAGGGGGCGTTTTTAGACGGCTGCCTGGGGTGATGTGTCACAGTTTATTGCTAGCTGTAGCAATGAAAAGGAAGCTTTACAAGCTGCTAGTGAGCAAAGGTTAGCCCATCAAAACAACCAGGCTGCAAGATCATCTATATATATGTTTTTTCTTTTCTCAGGCATCATCCTTTGAGATAACCAAAAACTGAGTAGCATGGTGATGCTGTGACTCAAATAGCAGGGATTCTTGAACTCACTAACTCCTAAAAATGCATCTTACCAGATGCAACGAGATGCGTTGGCCTTTAATGAGAAATTCTTTGGACAAATGAAATGCAGTAATGTGTATGACGTTGCCGTGTAAACCAGAGGCGGTAGCAAAACAAACATGGCTGCTGCACCAGTTTTAGCTGAACTGTTTATTTTTAACAATTTTTGCCTTTGTGGATGGGAAGATGTTAGGCCGTTCCTCCCAACCAGATTTAGTAAAGAGTTTGATTTATCAGTTAACTCAGCTGGTTCTCAAATCCAGAATGCGATGCGTTACAGCTGCTGACACTGGGTAAAAACTTGATATGGGAGGCTGGTGCCACTTGATTCACCCAATCAGCTTGGAGATTTGTACTGAATGTGAATAAGAGTGGCTGCAAATATCTGATCTCATGTTAAAA